ATTTTAGAATCTTTTCTACTGGGTCACATAAAGGACAAGTCGCTTAACCAATTTCTGTGACTCAATTCTTAACCTGTAAGATCGGGAAGCCACAGATAATTTTTTACATTAGTGTACTTCTATCAATCATGAAAGGCCAATCCAATTCTACTTTGGAAGGAGCATTGAAGATTGCAATGGGATGTCCTGGGGGTATTCAGGGGTTTAATTTAACTCTAGGAGATTAGAATTATCCCTTAAATATTCCCAGTCTGGGAGACAATCAGAAAAATTTAAGACCAGAGCAGTTTCACAATTCTACTATAGGGAATACCTGCATATTCTAAATGTACCCTAAGATGGGCCCTAGGATAGTCATAGAAATAGTCTAGTTTTCAAAGGATGGTCTAGACCAGAAGTGATTTTGGAAAAAGGCTAGAGAGAAGAGACTTTTTCAATCTATAGTTCACAGTCCCTACCACTTTCTATATCTCTAAAATGAACTGAACAATTTTCTTACCCTAGCTTATTAAATATATAAACATAGCTAGAGCTCCAACACAAGAAAGCAAGCCTATTTATTCTCAGTTCTACAGTAGACTTCATACCAGCATCGCCTAGTAACAAGTAGTTCAATTATAAACACACACACACACATATACATACATATACACACATGTACATACACTCTCATTCTTCAATTTAGCATAGCAAAGAAACCTTGGATCATAACTTGGTATTCACAATGGGGAAAAAGTCTTTTTTTTTGAATATTAGAGAAAATCTGAGCATAAAAAAATCTTAATACTCAAAGTTTGTAGAAAACATTCTCAGAGTTTTACTTTTATTATCTTAAACTAGGTCAAGAAGGGTCTTTTCTCACTCGGTTAAAGATATGTAAGACAGGACAATATTTCTGCTGCCAAGCAGGTAGGGGCATATAGCTTCACTACTTTGAATAGGAATACAGACTGTTCCAGGTAGATGCCTGAGCCTGGGCTCACAGCTTCACTTTAAGTAGCAGTTACCTTTAGTATTCTGTCTCATGCTCCTTAAAATGTAGTTCAAATGCTGGACCTATTGAGGACAGTCCTCCTTACTCAAGACAACGCTTTCATCAAAAAACGAATTAGCATTTGTATGCATATATGAAATGAAGAGTGCCCCTCAAACTAAAGAGAGAAGATGCAAGCTACTTGTTAGGAAAATAGTCCCCCCAAACAGCAATACTAGTTTTTGTCTGTAACTTTTAGTTCTAGTCAAATCACTAAGTGGCAATATGGACACCCAGAAATCCTAAAAGCAGAGGCTTGAATTTGAATGGGGGAAAAGTTTTGTTTTTCTGTTCTGACCGAGAATGAGATCCGAGATCTATTCTAGGTGCAAAAAGGTCCAAGCCCTCATTCAGTGTCCTTTTTGGGGCTTTCCAGGAAGGCCATTTAATCTCCAAAGAGTGATTAGGACAAGCTGCTTAGGCTTTCCTCATGCACAGGGCAGAGGTAGAATTGAAACAGGTTTGGCTGTGTTGGTGATGTTTGTAGTTGAGTAGGTTAATGTTTGAAAAACAAAAGGGAAAGGATTAACAGAAGAAAAATGCAGGTCCTAACAATTTTATATAATATACAGTCATTTCAGGTAGATTAACCATATTTTTCTAATTTGCTAGAAATCTACCTGTTAATATT